CACTGTAATTCACTCTAGGGGCTCCGGGTACATATGTGCTTGAATTGTCGTCATGTTTGACTGTTGAAGCTCACAAATATATAGTTGTCTGATTAGCAGACTGCGTCCTTTTAAATTGACCTAAACCTATTTCCCCACCTCTTAACTCTTTATTAATTTCATAAATATTCCTATGACAAGTCCGTGTGTCATCGGATTGTTTGAAATATGTTGCGCAAATACATTACACACGACCCAGACAAACTACGTCTTCTTATTGCTTTGTTTGAATTGATGAAGGGAACTAACTGTTTTAAAAGAACTTGAATACTTTATCAGTAAGTCACTTTGTAATAAGAGTTTCTTTCACTCCACTCCAAAACATTGTGCAATTATTATGTTTAGTAATCACATTTTTGTCCTACGGGTATTACGTGTTTGCATTGAGTGTTTTCAAAAATGTGAGTATTATCTAATAAGAACGTATTGAGTACATTTTCCTACGGAATTTCCTTGTATCTATCATCCTGAATATCATTGCTTAGTTGACTCCTGTGTTTGAACACTGCAAGTGTATAACATATGGAGGAAACATAGAAAACTTGAGGCTACAGATAATGCGACAGTTGTTTAGTATTCTTTAATCTTTGAAATTTCAATATGAATGTCTTATGACTGAACCAGGTGACTTCATCAACACTATAAGCAACTGTGCTAGCTGTAAGGTATTGATAACATGATCCATGACAGAGCTGGTATATTCACTAATTGTAATCTAAATTCTGAACACCACTTATCTTTGTATAAACCCTAATCACGAGTGTTACGAATGTAATTTATTTGCTGATATCTTTTTTTTCTATGATTGGTTTGCAAGGATTAGATTTATTTTTACGAGTTGATTACGGATTGATATCAGTTAGAGAACCATTGAAAACCAGGGAGTACTGGACAGCTGCTGTTTCATCCCAGTTTGGGAATCATCAGCATTACGCACCCACACTATAGGGTTCGAACCCAGGACCTTCCGGTCACAAGGCAAGCTCGTATACCATTCAGTCACTGGTACCCGATTCAATGGCTCATGAATTCTAACTTCTACCAATTCGTGATTTAGCGCGACCCCAACCAATGTCATCGGTGGGACAACCATCCTCACACTTGATATTTGGATGGACCTCACTGGTCACGACTTCTCACTAGAACTCCAGGAAACTCCATCCTTTATCAAGCAAGCACCGGATTAATTTTCTGTGATTGGTTTGTAAGGATTAGATTTGTTTTTACGAGTTGATCACGGATTGATATCACGCGCTAAATCACGAACTGTTAGAAGTTAGAATTCATGGACCATTGAATCGGTCCCAGTGGCTGAATGGTATACGAGCTTGCCTTGTAACCGGAAGGTCCTGGGTTCGAACCCTGATGGTGGTTGCGTACTGCCAATGATTCCCAAACTAGGATGAAACAGCTGTCCAGTACTCCCTGGTTTTCAATGTTTCTCTTGCTGATGTCTACCACGGGTTAAATTATTTTTCTCTCCTTTGAGCTAGGCGGTTGGCTTTCTGTTTATGGGTCGCAGGTTCAAATCTCGCTGCATCTTGTTCAGCCTGTACAACTGAATAGTATCATTAGCCTTTCGTAACAAGTGTGAATCATATAGCCTGGTACATGGAAAATCTGTTCTAGGCAACTGATCACTACTAAAGCACAAACTTGGTGCATTATAGACACGAAACCCCATAGTTTGTGCGAGGGTTGGGTTTCTGCCTGGATGACCAGACCGAAATAGGTGGTTGGGCTAAGGGGCCACCTCTCAAACCTTCGACCTGAAGTCTGATCCACAAGTCAGTGAAACTGTGTCCCTATGGTTTCCGGTGACAAAAACAGCTTCATACGCCATTCGGTCCGTGAGAAATCTGGAGCCCGCGTGCACAATAGTTTTAAAATCAGGGTTTTCCAGCTCCCCTAGGTAGACCAATCCGATTACAATTGCCAGACGTCCTGGGTAACTGAGTTCTAACTTCTTTTATGGGCATTTATTCATTTCAATATGGTTCTGTAAATACCATTTCTTTTTGCGTGCTTCTTTGACATGTTAACTTGAATTTACTTACTTTTGTAGAGATCGAGACAAACTATAATTGGTATGTATATCGCGTTAAATTCATTTGCTAATGCTTCCTGCACTAACTTAATCAAGACAATAATGTTTATGAACTATGTTTTCTTTTAATTCTGTCCTAGTTACCTGAGATTCAAGCTACAATGCAGAATTTGAGTAAGGAAATGATGAAAGCTGGGATAATGGAAGAAATGCTAGACGATACTATGGAATCTTCATTTGGTCATCATGAAGAAATGGATGAATTAGCTGCTGCTGAAGTTGATAAAATCATATGGGATATAACAGCTGGACAGTTAGGTGAAGCACCTGAACCTGCTGATCATTCCTTGTCAGTTTCTGTACCTCAGAGTGTCCTACCAGCATCTAATTTGCTAGATAAAGATGAGGTGGATTTGGAAATGGATGCACGACTTGCTGCTCTTCGAAGTTAACACTCTTCTTTTTTCTTTTCTTATCACTATATGGGCTTTCTGGCTATATACACGGACTTTATCTTATTGCATATTGTACAGGAAACAAGTTTTAATTGGCATAAACTGTATTGGTCATAGCTTATAAAAACGTATGATAACGTAATCCAGTTAATTGATCAAAATTTAAAAGCGGATCTATGTTTTCGAAAAGACGAACAAACAGGATCTTTCATTTTATCATCTAAAAGTTGTTGAAAGGAAATTTTTAAAAATTAACTTGGAGTTTTGTTTGTCTTACAAACCGCTTATATTGGTATACTTATAAGACTACGTTCACTTTCTTTCATAATATTATTATGTCCATATTACCATTTACATGATTTTACTTAATTAAAGATGTGTTCATGCTAAAATTCATCCCTTATCACAGTGTTTTATTTTAGTGAGTCTCTTAATTCACTTATGTTGTATATAGCATGCACAATACTAAAGGTTTAAAATCAAGTTTTATTGATTTCTGGATATAGGTGATTCTGTTGGTTGATCAGAATTTCCATTGAGATATCTTTCCGTTAAGATAAAAGAAGAGAAGGAATGTCTTTAAAAATAGCACACACACACACTGAGGAGAGAACGGTTGAGCGACGTCATGTGCAAGGCAGATCCTCAAGTGGAACCCAAATAGGAAGCCACGATTTATGCATCCGAAGATGATGTGATAGAGATTGCATGAGGAAGAGATGAAAGCTTGGGGGTAATTATTGGAGCCAGCTATAAAGTACTGCAGAGAGCAGGATGAAATGGAGGTGTGCTGTTGAAGGCCTATGTTCCACTCGGAACCCAAGGAAATAATAATACCTACAAAGTTTATGACTGTTTTAAGCTATTTCATTAAGGGTCTGCAGCATTAAATCTATTGGTCATGAGGTCACCAGTCAAGTAAACTATATTGCTAAGAACGATAGTCAGTAACTTCACTAAATGTTGCCATATTTTGGTTTGAACACCCCTTAACTCTTCATTCATGTTCTAATTTAGTCTAAGTCGCTTACTGAGGAAGTCAGTGGCTCGTGGAGCTGTGGCTCATTGATCTAGACGCTGAACTTCCAACTAGTGCGTCGCAGGTTCGGACCTCACTCCACCAACTGGGGTTTGGGCAGTCAGTTAGTATCGTTAGTCCTCACACAACAGGTGTTGCTCACTACTAACTGCATGGAGTGGCAATTGGTTGTTGGCTAACATTTCATTCATTCAGTGACTTGTTTTACTTAATAGGTGTTCTAGTCAATGAAGTTTCACCATGCATAGTCTCAACTTTATATACTGCGTCCTACTTAAGCGGCTGAACTATTTAATGAATGGCTATAAATGCGTAATATTGTCAAACTTACTCCCAGCGAGTGTCTCCGACATAAAATTGGTCTTACCTTTAGCACTCCTTTTCAGTGTAGCTATTCTGCTTCTGTACTGTTGTTAAATGTAGCATTTCGTACTGATGTCTCTCTATGTAACTTGGTTAAGTCAATATCTATGAGTTTTTGGAAGAAAAGATATTAACTAAGTTAACCCATAGGAATCAATTTTTTCAGTGAGTTTCATAACTTATTGCTTGATTGTGTACCAAGACAACATGAATTATGTAATCACCCATTTTTATTTCGAGGCTTATTTTTTATTTCACAGTCACTATACTAATGTGTGATGCTTGTGTTCTCTTGTCAATATGATACTCTTATTTTTCGTATCCTTTTACACGAAAGTCATTTGTAGAGTAGTAAAGTCATGTATGTATTAGCGATAAATTGTGAGTATTACTAAAACCTACAAAGTTTGCTTCAAACAGCTGGTTATTTGGCTTTTGCTTTCCACATTGTAACGAACTCGATTTAAAATAACTCAATAAGTCAACATAATTGAAAATATTTACGCCTAATTAACTGAGAAACTTGAATTGCTTCAATCGACGGTTCACAGGTTCGAGTCCCGCTGTACTTATTTCAGCCTGGGAAACTGGATAGCCTTAACACGATAAGTATAGCCTAGTACATGAGAAATTCGTTCCGGGTAATTGAGCTGTAACAAACGAACTCTAAAAAACTCTGTAGATATTGTTTTCTGAATGTTGAATCAAAAAGTCATTAATAGTGCTTGTGTTCTGTATTCTTTTCACGTTCTTTCATATATATACCAAGACGCTTACTATAGTTGTGTCTGATATATAGGCATATCTAGCAAGTCTCACCTCCGTAAAGTTAGAAATGTGTATTCAGAGATATATGCAAATTTCACATACTGTGTAGTATATAGATACCGTTCTATTCTCTTATTCGTCCATGCCAAAAGAAACTCGGCACTATTTTAACTGCTAGATAGCAGCATTAGAAAGACTTAAAAGAATTTTATGAATTGTGACAAGCAGTTTCTGTGTGTCGAAATAATCTAATTTTTGTTAGAAGAAGTTATCTGAAATACATTCTGAAATGTCTAACCCTAATATTAATAAAAAGAATCTTTTTGAGTGAATTCATTTTCAAAGATACTTTCTTTTTCTACACATTGTAAACGCTGGTATTTAAGGGATTATTTATGAAATCGAGGTGGTAATCATAAGTAAGAAATTTGGTTGGTTAGTAGTTGGCAATGGAATCTAGGATGTCCATTTCGTCCTATTTGAGACTCGTCAACTGGATGTGCCTGCATTCGCAGTGAGTGATGGTGTTCCCATTTGAGACTCGAACTCTGTAGCCATTGTTTCAAACACTAAAGCATATCAACAGAGACTGACCATTTCGGTCATATATAATCAATTAACTGGAAAGGCGAAATTAACCTAAAAGTAAGATTATTCTGATATCGGGAATGGATTAAATAAAAACTTGAATGGAGGAAATTATAAGTGGAGATTTGTATTAAAATTTAATCTGAGCATGACTGATATTACGGACTGTGGGATATCCCCGTCCACTTTGTTCAAATATACATCGATAATTGATATCAAGTTACAAACAGAAAGTGAGACCGTTATGGGCATACAAATATCATTATAATAGACAATTAGGTTGATCCACTATACATTTCGCTTTCATATACTTTAAGGTATTCATTGATACACCAAAGGAACTACCAACCTGGTACCAGTGGAGCATATAAGGAATCTACTATTCATTGTATAATACAAAATGATAACAGTAACTGCCAATCACTCATACCATCCGGGAGTATTAATCAGCAAAACTGGAGTAATCTGAGTACCAAACAACTGTTTTTCAACCTCGTGACTATGTACTCATCACTGGTCTACATCGTGTGATTCGTCTCACAGAGTGGAATTTTGCATAAAGATGGTTGCTTTACCTGCTTTTATTCCTAGAGTCGAGTGTACCATCCATACTTTGTAATATGAACATGTCAGTTATCAAAAGAACATGCGTTTCTCAGTTACAAATCGGATTGATTATTTTTTTACTCACTATCTTCAGTCGACCTTTAGTTAAATTTGGCCAAGTCAGCGAGACACTTTTTTTACCACTACTCAGACATCGAATACTCAAAAAGATAAAGTCAGTAATTTTTAAAATGTATATAGTGATAATCACATCTATTCATGACCTATACATTTGTACATTTCATTCATGTAGCTTCAATCAGGGTTGAGTTCGTAGTAGGACACAGGATTTCAAAAGCACATCACCATTTCACTCTGTTCTCTGCAGTCTTTTTAGCTGACTCTGCGATTGCCCATAAAATTCCGTTTCCTCACACGATTCCCTTCATGTCGAGGTCGCCAGTTAAGGTTCCACTCAAGAGTCCGCCTAGAGCGTGGTGTCACTCAACAGTCTTCTCAGCGTATTTCCAATCACTTCCCATTTTTCTCTCCATTTATTTTTTAGGCGATGTGTTCTTGGTTGGTTCGTTGCCAGAGTTCCTTGTTACTAATCCTTTCTGGTCGCTCATCTGATCCTCAATATCGAGCGAAAGCATGTAAAGTGTTCAGCCTGTTGGAAATATCTTTCGTGATGCACTAAGTCCCTGAACCATATATAAACACCAAATTAACAGTAGTGTTGAAAATCGGGATCTTGTTCGTTTATTTTGAGAGCAGCAGATTTCTACATCGATTTTAAACTAATGAATGTCTGTCCTGTTTTTCCGATCATTGCCTGTGTTGATATCTTCATCTATGCCCCCTTGTAGGTGGAACGAACGATGCTGCTTAAGTAGGTGAAAGCGGTGACCTCTCCTTCATATTTATTCCCATTTCGTTCGCAATCTAAGCAGCCTTCCAAGCTTCAGACATCGTGCGGACATTCCATTCCCCATGCTCGTTTTTGATTTCATTGGAAGAAGACACACGGCTAACTGACTAGCTTCTTGAAGGCTTTCATTAGTCGTCATCATCCGCCCCCCCCTCGATTCCAACGAAGAATACGATTTAAAAAAGTATTTTTATCTGTGTTTAGAAGTTTCTGCAGCTATTGGATTGATTTTCCCTGAGATGGGGTCGCTAGCCCCACATCCAACCTTCGCTCTTTTCCCAGGCTTAAGATCGGCTGGTAAAACAGGTGAGGTTGAAACGTGTATTACTTACTGGTATTAATACTAACGAGTTAGAAAGACACAGTTTTAGTTACCTAAGTGGGACTAAAAAAAATCTCATTGAATTACTAGTGTCCAATCAAAGTATCCAATACAGTTCTACAGAAGGTCAATCGCGAGCCCTAATGGCCCAATGGTAACGTCTCTGACTGCTGCAGTGCACTGGGTGACGCGGGTTTGAATCTCAGAAGGGATATGAGTTCCTTCAAGGCTGCAGATACGTCTTACTGACTGGTGAGTGCCAACTAGCACAAAACCTAGGTCCAGGGCTTCCTGCCGATTGTCTCCAACCATCTAATATCATCAGAATCAAAATTAATTTAGGAAGAAAGTCTATTCTGCTTATGTGAGGTAATTTGTTGAAATGTGATCACTAGGTGAGATTAAGTAGCTACATTGTATGATATAATGTGATAGTACAGCGGTGAAAAGTTAGGACTGGTTTAAGTAAATCTCTAGGTGATAACTACTTTTAAACGCTTTGATTACTTCTGGAAATTAAATCAAAAAAGTTTAATTTTTGCATTGTTCTTCTTGTGTTCCTTAACGAGTTGTACCATCTGTTGTCCCTTATAATGTTACCCAACTGATTTCGTTTAATAAACTACTTTTACTGGTTACATTAAATCAGTAAGAAAATAAATCGTTTTATTTGTATCTCAACAAAAAAATTCCTTAGGCATTTCATATTCATAATAGGTGAAGTGAATAAAAATTAATCTAAAGAGAAAATTAAATTTAGTAGCTTAATTTAACCTCGTATACACATAAATTTGCGTATACATCATGTGAATCAGCGAGCGCATAACGTATCTGCTGGATCGATAATTGTGGTGATTATTAGTCATTTATATATCATGTGATCAAGAACTTAAAAATATATTATCCTTACATTAAGACAATAGTACT